TGTATAAGTAACCCGATCTTCCTAATCATCAAAGAAACCTTGTTAGTTTGCAAAATTTGCATAACCTTGTACTATTTTACAAGTACCACAAAAATAGTCATCATTCTTTTGACCTGTAAATGGAAATTTACTTTAGATACTGATATTAATGTGGTTAGCTTGTTTTATGAGAAAGGTTTAACCAACATCATCATTGGTGTTGTCACAAACTTGGCCTCATAAAGAAATGCTTCCTACCTCAAATTTTACTGGCAAACACAATTAGCGGAGGTACAGTAGTTGTTGATATCCCCCAAATGAGGACTATGGAAAGAAATTGAAAAGTGCAATTTATATTGCTCAATTTATGTTCTGGCTGTTATATGCTTATCATCCTTTTCTTCTGACATTTATAAACTTTATTCTGTCATTGGATTTTTCTCACGGGAAGTTAGCTTGATTTAATTTGATATGCCTTATTTCTGCAATCAGCGGTCGCTTGCTTCATATATAAAAAGATATGCCTGCTCTAACGCAAAGACCGAAGACTTATGGGCTGCACTTGAGGAGGGATCTGGTGAACCTGTGAACAAGCTCATGAATTCATGGACAAAGCAGAAAGGATATCCAGTCGTCGCTGTAAAAGTCAAAGAACAGAAATTGGAATTTGAACAGGTTTTTTCATGTTTGATTTCTTAACCAACCCACAATTTAAAGTATGAACTAATATTCTTATTTCAAATGAATCATCAGCTCTACCACTGTGTGTGAGTTCCTTTGACATTGCACTTAGAAAATTACAGTGCTCTAATATGTAGATTTAATAATTGGCAGTCACAATTCCTGTCAAGTGGTTCTCCTGGAGAGGGACAGTGGATTGTCCCAATAACATTATGCTGCGGTTCTTATGATGTGCACAAGAATTTCTTATTGCAAAATAAGTCCGAAACTCTCGACATCAAGGAATTCCTTGGTTGTTCAATTTCAAAAGAAGGCGATAATGCAGCATGCACTTGGATAAAACTGAATGTTAATCAGTCTGGTTTCTACAGGGTGAAATATGATGAGGACCTTGCAGCTAAACTTAGAAGTGCGATAGAGAAGAAAAACTTATCTGAAACGGACAGATTTGGTACTTTCTTCACTCTTTCTTGCCCCAAATTTGTTTCTTTGATGGTGAAAGAGAGAATTTAACAACATTTTATAATTCATTAACAGGCATTTTGGATGATTCATTTGCTCTTTGTATGGCTCGTCAACTGTCTTTGACCTCTTTGCTTAATTTGATGGGTTCTTATCGGGAGGAAACTGAGTATACCGTGGTGTCTAACTTGATTAGTGTAATGTTCACCTCCATATTATGTGTAAATTTTATTCATATATTGTGTAAAGTTTGTTTATATATGTGTTTAGTCCTAATTATGTGTTTGGTTTTACAGATAAGCTATAAAGTTCTGAGGATTGTAGCTGATGCAAGACCTGAATTACTGGACTACGTTAATCAATTTTTTATCTGCCTTTTCCAGTATTCTGCTGAGTATGTATTTCATATATAAATTATTGAAGTTTTCTTTTTACAATCTTATATTAGAATTTTTGTAGAAAGTGGAGTTCCCTATTTATTACTGCTTTTTAAACATTAATTTACAGCTTGTAGTTGGCAGTGGTATAATTGGTGGTGAAACCAACAAGCAGTTAAAATAAAAGTGACTTTGAGATGCTCCAATCAATTAGTCATATTGCCTATTGCAATATACTGGATTTATGTCAAGACAATTTCATCGCCTAGATGAGAGATCATTATATCTAGGCATTAGAATCTGTACTTAATTGATAAAAAGCCAACAAAGGGGCTATTATATCAGACTAAGAGGTTTATAGTGAAAAAATATGTATTGGTAAAAGATTTAGAATTTTCTTGATACTGGGAGTTGTCTATCAAAGCATCGTGTGATAGAAGATGCTAAAGACATATTTTCATGGATGGAGATGAAAAATACTCTCAAGAGCGAAGAAAATACATTTTCTGCATCTCACATATCTTCTTTTGCTTGGGATATTTATTGAGTTCTTACCATGTTGTGCATGAATTTACAACTTTAACCCCAAAATATAGAATTATGATATATCTTGCATAAGTTAGTCAACTGTTAAGTGAGTAAGGTTGCATGTTGCCTTATGTTAATTACCAAACTTTAATCTTAAGATAGTTTGTCACATTTTGTGCTTGTTTTTCTTTGCCGGTAGAGTATCATCAAGATGCTATTGCAAATAGAAACCTTTTTGTGGTCCGCTTTAATGCACATTTGTTTTTATTTTTTAACTTCTATAAGTTTGTTACAGGAGGCTTGGTTGGGATCCTAAACAAGGTGAAAGTCATTTAGATGCTATGTTGAGAGGAGAAATTTTGGGTGCTCTTGCTTTGTTTGGACATGATGAAACCCTAAATGAAGCAAGCAAACGATTCCATGCTTTCTTAGAAGACAGAAATACGCCACTACTGCCTCCTGACTTACGAAAGGTTGTTGGCTGTAAAGTTCATTTTAATACTATTATCCTTCAATTACAACCTATATTCATTGGACAATTGTTTGCAGGCAGTATATGTAGCAGTAATGCAGAAAGTTAGCTCCTCAGACAGATCAGGTTATGAATCTCTTCTGAGAGTGTATAGAGAGACTGATCTAAGTCAGGAGAAAACACGCATTCTAGGTACTGGAAAGTCTTTTTTTAAAATGATTCAAGATATTTTCAAATTGTTGAGTTGGTGGTAATTACATATTTTCTTACACTTTTCAGGTTCATTAGCATCTTGCACAGATGTAAATATAATTCTTGAAGTTCTCAACTTTATTTTGTCTTCTGAGGTATCTTTCTTGTTATGTACTTTCTTATTGATGAGGTTAAAAGTCAATATTAAGCTATTCAATTACTCATTTAATTTCCAATTTAATATAGGTTCGCAGCCAAGATGCGGTTTTTGGACTTGCTGTCAGTAGAGAAGGACGTGAAACAGCTTGGAAGTGGCTGAAGGTATTACTCATCCACATATCCAGTTCTTCTAAATTGTGGAAAAATAAGTTTAATAGCCATGTAAATGCTTTGTATTTCGGTATTATATTGATTAGAAATGTGATTTTGCATTTTAGGCATCATTGTGCATTGCATATTATTTTTGGATGATAAGGTAGAAAACTGAAGTGAGAGATACAAGAATTCTTAAATCAAACAAAAAGAGGGAAAAGGGGATAAATAGGTTAGAAGAAGAATAATGAGACAAAAGAAACAGGTGTCTGTAGTATTTTCCTGATAAATAGGACTGTAAAGTTTTGGAGAAGATAACTGTCACTGAAGAGCAGCAAGTGAATCTCAATGTTTTTGTGCTTTGAGATGAACAGACTGCCATGGATCCCACTACCCTCAATTTTTTTTCAGATATCTCTAGCTTTGAAATTAAAATTATTTAGAATTAAGAGAATATATTTTGATTTCAGATGAGAATTATTATAGCTTAAATTTTGAAGTTTTGGTTAAACTGTCAAAGCTTGAGAGTAGTAAAAAGTCAAGGTGGATCCTGGCTGTGGCCCATCCGATGGAAGAAATATCTTCAAGGGATAGATTTATGAGACAAGAAACTCACCAAAGAGGATGACTCACTTTCATACAGGAATTAATAATCCTGCTTTATTACATGCGCATGCTGTGATTTTCTATAAACTTTGAACAAAGGAGAAAATGCTTTTTGATCTGCCCATATCAGGTTGCTATGCTATTACTGCAATCTCTTTAAACAATGATTTATATACACTTCATTCTTCTTTTTTTATTTGGAATACAGGATAACTGGGACCACATCTCAAAAACCTGGGGTTCTGGATTTCTCATAACGCGCTTTGTCAGTGCAATTGTCTCACCGGTTTGTCTCTCCCCACTCTTTCTATTCTCAATTTCTTATTGAATCTGTTATTAGCTACAAAATCTGTTTTCAGTTTTTCAATGTTAATATAGTTCATAGTTTATGGATGTGGATTCAATTCTTATTTGCTGTTTGTTTACTTTTGTATTGACTCTAACCTTGGAAGCTTCCTTTTTCACTTTTTGTTATTTTGATTTTTGTGTTCTCTCTTTGTTCAGTTTGCTTCATTTGAGAAGGCTGTGGAAATAGAGGAGTTCTTCGCCACCCGATCAAAGCCCTCAATTGCTAGAACCTTGAAGCAGAGCCTTGAAAGGGTTCACATCAATGCAAAATGGGTTCAGAATGTTCAGAATGAAGAACATCTTGCCGAGGCAGTCAAGGAGTTGGCTTTCAGGAAATACTAGATCCTGATTGATTGGTGCCGCGTAAATTATCGTGAATAAAGCACTCCCCAGTGAATTAGAGCATTAATGAGAATATGGCCACTTAAAAATTATATGAACATCAAAATCCCAATAGTTTCAGCAGTTATTTCTGTGTGTTGCCCTCTGCATTTCATTCAGATTCTGTACTTTCCCCTCTTTTTGGTTTGCCATTGTGTGTATGTGGGATAAAATTTACTTTTGTGAAGGTTTATAATTTTATATTAGATGTGTTTGTTTTTGCACTTTGCATTCCAATCGGAAATATTCAATCAATAAAATACAATAGATGAAATAACCAACAAAGGCTAAAAACTTAAAAGCTGTCTAAAAAAATTTGCCAATATTTTTTTATAACCGTGCCGTTGAAATAACATAAAGCAATTACCTCACAGAGCAATTTATCTCGGAGGCAGAACAAATACAATTCGACCACGATGTGAAAAAGCATTAAACGTCCCGGTCTCCTATACCTACAACAAACAACTAAAATTTACACAGCCAAGAGTACTTAATCCCTTGAACAATGAAAGAGGTCTAGAATCATTCATGTTCTATTGTACATACAGTTCTGCTAATCTCATGAAGCCATAAGCCCAGGTGAAAAACAGATGGGCAAAATACTATATTCCATAATATGAGTATATATATCGTTCAACAGCTAAAAAGGCGATGACAAACCGTCACGTTTTGCTCTTGAACTTCCTTTGAGCTTTCAGATCCACCACGATTACAGTGATGTTATCTTTGCTTCCCTTTTGGAGAGCACGGTTTGAGAGGTACTCTGCTGCTGCTTGGGCAGCAGGATCAGCTCCATTCCCGCGTTCTGATGAAAGTGTAACACCATTCTTTCTGTGCCAAAGTAGTATTCGCTTCCTCGCCAGATCGCATGCCTCTTCATTTGTCATGACATCCCATAAGCCATCGCTCGCTAGAATCAGGCATTCGTCTTCTTTTGCTCTAGGAATGAACATTACTTCTGGTTCAGGAATGATCCAAGGCTTCAAATATCTATCACCTGCAACCACAAGCAAGTTTTCTCGAATTTGAGCTATAAACGACTTAATTTAACAATCACAATGGGAGTTTGAGTTGCATACAAGGATTTCATGTGCCCATAATCAGATAGTGTGAATGCAACAGAAGCTTGACAAAAGAAATCAATAGTTTTTATCATGCATTATGAGATGAATGTATGATATTTGGAGGCATGGAGGTCCAATATATATATATATATATATATATATAGAGAGAGAGAGAGAGAGAGAGAGAGATTAACACAAAACATAAACAATCCCATCAGCGGGGGAATGAAGCAACAACAGTTTGAACTTCACTGATGTACAAATAGAATAGTTAGCAAGATCAAACAAAGAAATTGAAACACTAAACAAGCAACTCAGAACTTTGAGCAAAAAGTAAACTGTTAAATTGGAATTCTTAAACTCCTACTGGCTTGAATCTACAGAATGAATCTCCATAAAATAGCACAAGAATAAAACCCACATTAGGGTAACTCATTGAAATCTAAACTTGAAACTCAGGAATGGACTTTTTCGGGTACTAATAAAATCTAGTGGCTGATAGTTACACACATTTAACAATGTCCAGACATATGGAAAGCACTTAGCAACCAAGATCAATGAAATTAAAGTAAATATTCACACATTTCTTCATTAACTATTTCTTCTACATGCTGTGTAATAGCAGGCACTACATGACAGCGCAAGATCAGAACTTCTTTGGTGATGTCCATATTACCATCTTGGAGTCATTAAAATCAAGTAAACCATTGACAGATGTATCAAGAATCGGTAGAACCATGAACAGTCCAAATATCCTTAATCAGTGGCTTCATGGGTCATGGATTGCGAGACCAATGTCTCATCATGAGCCCAAGGAGATAATTCCAAAGATCATGAGTATACCTCATGTCTTCCAGTCATAGCTAACGTATACAGGTTTGGGGAACCAGATTTGAAATATCTGGAGGCAGCAATAATTATTTCCCAGCATCATAACTTCTGGACATTTCTTTTCATCAATGATTGTATCCATTTGAAATAATTCTTTCCACTTAGAAAAAATTTTCAGGCTGTTCTAATACTTTGCCCCATAGTAACACTTCAATTTACCACTTAACTATTTGAGCAAAAGTAAGACATAAGACAATAACTTGGCCAAATAAAATATCCGATTATCCAACCCATCTCACACAAAAATTTTCATTTGACTTCCATATACAACATAGAATTGCAACGTTTACTGTAAGACTTCACCAGTGATCCACAATGCCAAGAGGAAAGAAATTCAGTAAGCTTCAACCTAATGGTCATTTAAGCCCACACAATCATCTCCCTAATGTGAAAATAGCTAAACTAATTACCCAGTGATTAATCAAACACATAACAATTCTTAGTTGTTGAAAAAGAGAAAACACTGATGAGGGTGTTACTTCGGAAAACTGCCTCATTAAATAGCTATACCATGTTGAACCATGAAATGAGAAAGAGACAACCATTATGAAGGAATACATACCAATAGACCTTGACATAGCAAGAACGCCAAATACACGATGCCCATTCCACTGTATAACCTTACCTCCGGCTGCTTCAATCCTTGCATATTCATCTTCTCGATTTGGCTACAATATAAACAAATCAAATAAACAATCAATTTTGCCATATTCCTTGAAAATACACAAGATGACAATTGATGAGTCTTACTTTATGATCCACAGACAAAGCCATGGGCTCTTTCCCACGATATAGAACTGCTCTTGAATCTCCACAGTTTGCCACAATAATATGGGATGCACTAATAATGGCAACAACAGCAGTAGAACCAACAGTTTCTGGGGCAACAGGTTCTTGGCCTGCTTTTCCTCCAACTTCAGCATCAACCTTAATAAAACAATTGGTGAATGTCTTTTTCCATTGCTCTTGGCAACTATCCTTCACACTTCCATCACTCAGACACTTCCTAACAAGCTCTATCTCCTCAGCTAAAGCAGAATGGATACGATCACGACAATAGTTTGCAACCTGAACAAGCAAACCCCATAACAGATATTTCCTTGCAAAAAGACATCATATGCACAGTTGAATTGAAGGTAAAAATACTATGCAAGGAACATCTACAGAAGGAAGAAAAAAAATACCTGTAAGCCTCCATGGCCATCGTAGACACCAAAGAAATGAGCAGTCTGTTGACGAAAACGCTTGCTCATGCCATCGAGTACCTGGTCGCCAATTAGCATTTGAATAGGAATTTTCAAAAAATCAGGCACTGTTGCAACAGCATCTTCCATCTCAGGTCTCCTTCCACACACAGATGTAAATCCCCAAAGCGGTACATAAGCCACCTCAAATACACTGCGTCCGATATTTCCACTCACTCCTTTTTCGAAAGCCATTTGAAGAAGAATTGAAGATGACTTTTGGTTGGGCCCATCTCCAATCTCTTCCTTAAGGGTAACAGGCACAGCAAGAGCATCACTTACTATCTCAGTCGCAACAGACTCCCCTAAATCATTGGCCTTAGCAATAATGTCTACACTGCAAATGCTCTTCTCAATGTCAATTGAACTCAATGTTCCTACCTCAGATGTAGACTCAAAACCCAAATAGTCCTCTCCACATAAACTACTAGTCTCACTTGCCACTGAAAGTGAACAGCTATCCAGAATCTGATCCCCCTCCAATGATAAGGAATCATCTTCCTCACATTCCTGGTTTATCACTTCATCACTACCAATCCCATTGTTTTTATTTTCAGATATCATATCCAACAAAGGTACTCTTCCCACTTTCTCATCTTCTGTCACCGCCCCTGCTATATTACTATTTTCATTTCCCAAATCACTACAATTAAAATTCTCACGCCCACATACAACAGACTGGGCAGAAACCTTAGCTACAGAATTAGATAACAAGTCCGCTGTGTCGTCCATCAGCTGAAGACTTTTGATATCCAAACGGATAGCTATTGTTGGGTTATCACAAACTGAATTACTTGCTCTAAATGGCACTGCAACTGCCGTAGACATCTCCTTCATCAAAATCTCTATCCACGCAGTGCAAAAAGTTGCCCTCCAACCCCTCTAATATCTCACAAGCTGTCATTATTCAACTAAAGTTTCACCTTCTTCTCTTATCAAGAACAATTTTGTGATATGAAAGGTGGGTTTTAATAGACCATTTTCCATGCCTTAAATTCAATATACCCAAAAAGTAGAAGCAAATTCAGCTGACTTATGGTTGAGCTAAAAAAATGTAGTGAAAGCGAAATAGGTAGTCAGATCTGGTCAACAATAATGCATCCAACCTTCCATTTGTGGAAACCATAACCCTAAATAGATATGCTATCAATGTCTTCTTCTCTGGACTCTTCTCTATCTAACTCCATCAACTACTGTCACAAAGGCAAACAACCAGAAAAAAGCTTCAAATCACAAAAAATAAAACTAATGAAAATTTATAAACAATCACAGTGAAGCAAAAACTAAATCAAATTTGAAACCAATCCATTAGCTCTCAACACAAGAAGGAAAGAGAAAAAAACAAAAACAAAAAGTGGGTCATGAGAAAGAAACCAAGAATCACAGGAAAACCCTAATAAAGATATTACTCTTTTTCACATAGTTAAAGAGTTCCCTGGATCTGAGGCAAACCAGCTTAGCCTCTTGAAATTTGCTATCTTTCTCTCTCACAAAATAATAATTATTGTCAACTACACAACTACAAGAACAAAAAGTAAAACTATGAAGGAAAAAAGAGAGACTACCTAATTTGTCAACTGTAGATTAGAGTCTCTTTTACTTGTATCTTGCAAAAGACTGTTAACATCTAAGACTAAGAAAAGCCATGTGTAAAGGGATTAAAAAATATATAAAAATCAAGAAACAAGATACTGATATGGGGTTTGCTTACCATTAAAAAATAACACGTATATTATTCATTCTTTAATATTTATACATCTGGGACTTGGTGTTGAGTCGAAGGAGAAGGAGAGTGAAGAAAGAAAATATAAAGAAAAGACTTTGAAAAATAGAAAAAGACAAGAGACAGACACTTGTCAAATCTATAAGCGCATATTGAATTTGAAGCATCTAAAACCAAACCCATCCCTTCCTTTCTTTGTAGTCCATTCTCTCCTCCTCTCATAAAAGATATTTTCTTTCCTACTAAATTCATGAAAGATATGTTGTTGTAAATGAAAATGATTTGACAATATTAAACTTACCAATTACCATTCATGTAAATGAAAAGGCACAAAAACTTTGAAAAAGGTTAAATAAGTGGACATCCACTCAACAAGGATATGATTTTTAGATTCTCTCAATTCATGTTATGCCACTTCAAACTAGACAAACCCAAATAAAAAACATCATCTTTCATCTATTAATGAACCAACAAAAAAACAAATAGTAAGCATTAAAATACTATTTTAATATCACTAATTTATTTTTATTACATATTCAATGGCAATGGATGAAAGTGCAGAAAAGGAAGCAAATGAAGATGATGATTAGTAACCACCATTGGGTGGTTCAGCGGTCAATTAAAACTTTTAGATGTATTCTTCAAGAGGTTCTGAATTCGATCAACTTGAGTTATTAATACTTAATAGGGGTGGTCACTGAGAGGATTTACCATGTTGTCAACTTCAAAGCTCCGATGGATTAGTTGAAGTACGCAGAAGTTGGTTCGGACACCCCGATCACCTTAAAAAAAAAAAGAAGAAGAAGATGATGATTAGTAATAAAGATAAGGTTGTTTATAATTAATGAGGGATTTTTGGAGTTTGGCTTTTGAGTGACAGCGAAATTGAATAGTGAAATCACTATGGCAGCTTCAATTAAATTGAGTGGAGGAAAGTATAATTTTATTTATTGAAAAAAGAGGGAGAAAAGTTTGTCACATGTTAATACAGAGAAAGGGTTTGAAGGTTAGTTGATGTCAACCCTACTTCACTTCACGGGATGTCCTTTAAACAAACCTTGCATTGTACTTAGTAATTTGCACCTCATATTTGTAACAACAAATCAAAAATAGATGGCTAAAACTTGAATCTCAAACCTATATTCAAATAGAAATGAGTGATGTTTTCACCAAAACTTCTACTAAATTTCTATTTTAGATAATATTTATTGAAGATTGAGAGATCTTCAAATAGATTTTGTGGGATTTCTTATGACAAATTAGCAATTGGTTTGAACCTTATATCCATCTTGGACTTCTTATCTTCCTTTGAACTGTCAAATTACAGCTTATAATTGGGTCTGATCCCATTTTATTAAGCCCAAATATTCAAATAAAATCCAGCTTCTACACTTATTATTAACATGATTAAACTTTCCTAAGTTCCGACATTCCAAACCATTGACTTATTAATTCTAATGACCAAATTTCTATTTCAAGACAAACCCTAATATTGTTGCTTAAATATGACCCAATTGGTATCTTTTTCTTATGTTGGAATGTTGGGTTTGGAAGGTGGTGGGGGCAACTGTTGTTCAGCCTCCAAAAGTGCTTTGTCCTCAAGCTCAACCCACCTCACAACCAAGGCAACTGAGAGAGACACAGCCAATGATATCGGAGCAACAAACGAAACTTAAGTATAGAAAACCATAAACAATATCGGAAAAGCCTTTTGAAGACATTCTACAACTTATAAAAAAAAAAAAAAAAATCTGTGAGGTCAAACCCAAAATGTTTGATCAAATTTCAATTTCCACTATAGAATAGAATTGAGGGTTTTGGTTGAAGTATAAATTGGGGTGGGTGTACTTATATTTAATGTAAACAATTAATAAGGAACCCGGGTATAAGATATACTCGAGCTTCGACCTGGAAAATCAAGCCTAAGGTATACCTGGGCTGGGCTGATTTTGGTCTTTGATAGGCCCAGCTTTGGCCCGGATATATTATATGAGATTTTTAAAAAGAGTGATTTGAGCCCCATCAATACTCTTTCCAAGCCCCATATTAAATCAAATTAATCAAATATAACTAAACACACACTTTATTCCAATATTAGGCTTATCTTCTTCCTTAACTATCTTGTAATTCTAAGTAACATCATATCCAAATAAAATTTGATATAATTATAAAAAAAATAATTAAAAAACACCTACTTCAAACCGAGCAAATTCAATTGAAACTTTTAAGTTTTTTGTTTGTTAGAATCTACCAAATATAGAGAACAGTCAAATTACTTCAATCTCATATCTTTCTTTTTTAACTCAACAATATAAACAACGAGTTCCTTTACATCGGTTAATTAATTAAGATTCTACAATTTTTTTTTTTTTTTTTTTTACATCGGTTAATTAATTAAGATTCTACAGTTTTTTTTTTTTTTATCCATCATGATTTTTTATTCTCCTGTTAGACAAAGTTCCGTTAATGATAGGATTCAATATTTGTTGATGCAAGAAATTGCAACAATGAGAAGTACGTGATTGACAACACTATAATCACATCTAATGCTTGCATAATCTTGACAGATTAGCGATGGGATAATGTAATTGTATATGAACAACAATTAAACATACAGCACAAAGAACAAAAGAAGGTTTTTAAAGTTATTCGACTACTTATAATGCAAAACATACGTCTACTGCTACATATTGAGCGTATTTGCAAATTGAGTTACAAAGAGTTATATCAAATTCTCTCTTGAGATGTCTCTTTCTCAACCTATCTGTTCTTCTATATGTGTCTTTGTTGTCCCTCAAAACGCATTAGGGTGTTTTTCATATAGCACCAGTTACAAGTTTGAATTGGAAATATACACTGGAAAACAACTTGACCTTCGGCTTTGACTCTAGAGTACATATTACATGATATCTCCTTACCAAAGTTGAAATTATCCTTTCCTGATTGAGAATTGAGTTACAAAGAGTTATCTCAACTTTCATAAATACTCTTTGTTCCAATTTTTTTTTTTTTTTTTCTCTTAGAAGAGTAAACATTCAATCGCCTTCACTCACGCTATATGCCCCCACTATCACTATTCCTAAAATACAATTTAGATATTCAAATTAAAATTTCAAAATCATTAAAACTAAAAAGAAAAAAAATACAAATAATTAACCTATTAACATAATATAGTTAAACATGTCAAACAATTATTGGAATCAAAAGTGGAGTGAATGACCATTTTTCCCACCCAAGGTTTAGCATAATTACGTTTTCCCACCCAAATTTTTGAGAAAAACAATTTCACACCCATTATAAAGATCCATCTGTTAACTTTAACGGAAGAAAGATAGGATGATAAATTCACTAAAAGTTGTAAAATCAATGATTTTAAAATCTCTCTTGTTCCCTGCAGTGAAGCTTCCCAAGGATTCAAACTCCACGTTTTTTTTTTTTTTTTTTTTTAAATTCTTCTATCTTTCTGGCTTTTTTACTCCTTACTAGAAGTGAGCATTTGGGACTAGACCCAAAAAGCCCACCCAAAAACCTGGGCCTAGGACCGGTCCTCACAAGGATTGATAATGCAAACTCCTTCGATTTGCGAAGAAACCCACCGATCAAGAACGTAAAGATCTAGGAACAATCAGAAGTCGAAGAACCGCGACCTGAAACGAATATATCTTCAAAACCTTGGTATAGATAATCTAAAACACCACAATCTTGATTTAGATTGACAAGTTCCGTGGAAGAACGCCATAAGAATTGGTGATTCTTGATGAGTTTTAGAGATCAAGATGCAATCTTGAAAAAAAAAAACGAAATATTTAATTATTTCTCTGAAAAATGTGCGGCCAAAACAACCTACAACTATATATAACTAACTAATTAGCCCAAAATAAGGCTAACAGCCCATTAATAGGTCTCAACCCTAATAACTAACCCAAACCCAACTAATAAAAATAATAAAAGACTTGGGTTTTAGTAAATAAATAGCTCAAGCCCATTACACCAAAATAAGTCTTAAAATAACTTAAAATAGCCCACATAAAATAAAAATTATCAAGCCTCATGAACAAAGGCTTGGATGCCAACTTGGACCCAATTAGGGCTAGCAAGAATCGGTTTTTAATTCCTCAAACTTAGACTTGGGCTTCAATCTTGTTAACAATCTTTTTGGATCCCTTTAAGGCATACTCAGCTTCATGCATTGCTTCCTTGGCTTCAAATTCTTCAATTACGCTTGACAAGACACGTTGCATCTTTTTAACTCGACTCTTTGTAATCGGGCCCACCGGAATATGAAGAGGATCTTGTGTTAGCTTTACAACAACAAGCTGCTCAGTCATGTCCTTATCATACCCTCTCTCTTGAAATGGATTTGTCCTCAAATCTGCATCATCAAAAAGAGTTAGGTCAAAAACATTAAAGATAGCACGTACGTTATACTCACCTAGAAGATCCACTTTATATGCATTATCTCTAATTCACTCGAGCACTTGGAATGGACCATCGCCTCTAGGGTGCAACTTAGATTTCAACTAAGATGGAAATCTCTCTTTTGCAAATGTACCCAATCTCCTGGTTGGAATACCACTTTCTTTCGCCCCTTGCTAGCTTGTCTTGCGTACTGTTCGGTTCACTTCTTGATATTTTTCTTTACTTTTTCTTGAAGTTGTTGAACAAACTTCGCTTTTCTCTTGCCATCTAAACTGGAACGCTCATCAATAAGTAAAGGTAACAAATCCAAAGGGGTTAAAGGGTTAAAACCATAAACAATTTTAAATGGTGAATAACCTATAGCGGAATGCACAACCCTATTATATGCAAATTCTACATGTGGCAAAAAGTCCTCCCAAGATTTCAAATTCTTTTCTAAAATAGCACGCAACAATGTAGATAATGTTCTATTTAGTACCTCAATCTGTCCATCCATTTGCGGGTGACAAGTAGTTGAAAATAAAAGTTTAGTACCTAACTTACCCCACAACACCTTCCATAAATAACTTAAAAACTTTGCATCTCGATCTGACACGATACTCCTCGGAACTCCGTCTAAGTGCACTATTTCCTTGAAAAATAAATTGGCGATGTTAGTTGCATCATCAGTTTTATGACATGGAATGAAATGTGCCATTTTCGAAAACCTATCTATAACTA